ATTGTCCCAGACTATCTCAGTTATCTCAGGGGGAGGTCAGCCAAAGACGTCACGTATCAAATCAGCCAAAAGCGTCACGTATTTTGTACATGGCCTTTTTCGCCATAAACTGATGAACAGGAGTAGTGGTATCAACAGTCGCCTCGAAAACACAAACTGAATAATTTGCTTGGCGTGTCAGCCCGCACGTGCAAGGCTATAGTCGCGGGTAACCGCCCGCTTCGAAGCACTCGTAAGTAGTTGTTGACAAATGAACAATCATCAAATCATGCTCATGGAGAGTAACAGAGAGAAGGATTTTGATTGAAATTTCTTAGACCAAATTTACTGCTCTTTCTAAAGCTTATCGAGGAATGACATTCCCACATGTACTGGTGGTTATTTGTTTACTTACAATAATAAATGTGAAGCCGATCAAGACATCTAATTCAACAAAATGTCACCGGCTTTGTGTTTGCCTTAATTCGACGACTCTGGACTGTTCGAATAAGAATTTAACTTCAGTGCCTAACGATCTGCCTGGTGACACGACAATATTGTAAGTACCGCCTTTTTTTTGTTACTTATTCTATCATTCAAAGTGTGTAAACACAGAAATTCACGCTACCTAGTGTGCTCTTATTTGACGTTTTTATACTCGCTTGTGTGAAAGTGTAAACAGCATTTATTCACAGTCTATAGCCTTATATAATATTGCTCATCCGTTTACCCGCTTCTGTGTTTGCTCAACCAAGCGAAAGCTGAAGATTCTGCTAATTATATTGCAACAGAATCTAGATATATCCTTAATGTAGTTAGTATTGCCTATATTTGAAAAAGGATCGCGTGTGGATGCTAAGAGCCTAAGATGCCCAAACTGTCAAAACATTGAGACTCTGTTTTGGGGGTGTATCTGAAAATAATTATTTTGGACACTGACAGTTGACCGGAATATTCGAAATCTTCGCTTATTCAATGACTAATTATTATCCAATATCTGTTACCGGTGGATATTGAATTATTAGCTTGACTTTAACATATCTTTGTGGTATGGGAAAATCGTTTCTTTATTAGTATATTAAAATATAAAAATTACATATATATTGTCATTAATATTGTGGAAATGAAAATGAAAAACATAGATTGGCTTCTTGTGCTTAATAAACAATGCATACAGCAAAGTTTCATTTTTACAAGGTTTGAAATGTGTGAGTTTATCTGTGATGATTTAACTTTTATGATCTGAGCAATCAATGACAGTATTATTTTGTGTGCTAATTCAATGCAGTATGATGAAAGAGTATGGCAGGCTGGCAGCACTTGTTATGATGATACATATCAGTGAATATCATTAGGATATAATGGATATTGTAATAAGTAAACAATCCGGCAAATTTTGCAACCACTTATTAGTTTTGACCTCATATTAAGAGATTCCCTTTGATGCCGGAGGATGGGACAAATTAGGTTGCCAACATATGACCAACTTTTGTACTAGCTGGAAATCTTAGTTCTATAAGCTTTTTTTGCCGTAAGACAGCTTTGCATTGATAAGGGTCAAGGGCCGGGTGCAGCGACCTGAAAAATTTAAGGCAAACTTCGACATTTCGAGTGAAAGCCCTTTGTTGGGAAGTTTGTAGCCAATATTTAGCTTAGTTTTAATGCTTTCATTGTGGAAACATTGTTACATACAGCTTTGTTACACATGCTGTTATTCAGCTATCACTCAAAGGCCTTTCAACAGAAATTGTTGGGGATGGCCATTGTTACAAAGCTCAGAATTGTGATTCAAATGAGATTTGGAACAAACAGTATTGTTTGATGCAATGCAGTAATATGAGGTTTACTGATCTCTGAGACTCAGACCTGATTTTATCCACTAGATAAACTTTTAATTACCAAATAAATCACTTGTTTTGTTCTTTCAACTAGTAGCTACATGGGCGGATTTACTGGGGGGTAGGGGGGTAGGGAGGGTTAGAATCTCTCTAACTCCTCTTGTAAAGTGTTCAACCCCACAAAAATTTTGCTTCTCCCCTCCATTTTGTGTGAAAGTTTTTAGCCTTAATGTCGAAGCTCACTCAGTAGTACCGCTTGCACCCCACCACAACTTTTTCTACCCCTCTTTTGAAAAAAAATATGAAAATCCGCCCTTGAGTAGCTATAATACCTATTATGACCGTATAGTATCAGTACATGTATCATGTGAACCAACATCGGTATTTATATCAATTAAATATCACACATGTGATGTCAAAGGCTTCCACCCTGTGATTAATTTCTCAAAACTAAATCTAGTAAATTAAGATATATCTGTACCAACTTTTATTAAAATTGTACCTGTACCTTGTACCCGGCTGGCCTGTTTTTCTAATATCTGTTGGTTTAGCCTGGGTGGTTGTCTTGGTAAGGTGCCAAGATAGCCTAGATAGCCTAGCCTCATAAAATATAATTATTAACTGTACTGTATGTAGTTTCTATAAAATATTTGTTTCATTTTAGCCAGCATGTTGCTGATAATTTTAACCAAGTACAGTAACCTATCATAGTTGTCATTAAATGTGAAGGTACTTGTGACTTTGAAGCTGTATGGCTGTATTGGAAAATAATTTAAATTCGAATGCTATCCTTTTCCTTTTGTAGTAAAAACAGATTCAATTGTTTGTTTTTGAAACAAAGGTTGGAAAAGGCTGTGATGCTTTGTACTTCTATTGTTTAGTTCTTTTGAACTGTGATCATTGACAAAACCTTTTAGGGTAATAGGGCTCCAAACAGGGTTGTAAATTCTGAATTGGGGGGGGGGGGACCCAACTTTTTACATTTGTAGTATAGTGATATTCTATAATAAATTCTGTCTTTTGACTGGCTACACCACCTTACCCCTTCCCTCTACTTTTTTGAATATATTTTCTCCTGTTTGGTTCCAAATGCTTCATTGAGGTTGTTATTCTAGAGTCTTTGTTGTGAAACGAAATTAAATGAAAACTAAGTCCTGAATGTGGTAGTTTAGCCTGGGATGCTTTTTCAGATGCATTAAACTTGTGCTGAACAGGAATGTTCTGGATAATGGTTAACAATGCACCCAGAATACACCAATTGGGTGCATCTGCAATGCACCCGGAATACACAAAGAATTTCATTGTTGTTTTCAATGTTCCTCATGTTGATGTTACGATTTGGACAAATTTCATGTTGTATGTTGATATTTTATTCTCTATATGTCACCATTTCAACACAGTGTCGCCTGTTGGAATTTAACCTAACAACACTTCATCATTGACATATAGCCAGGGTTTCTAGAAATGAAAATAGAATGCACATGCTTCAAGGACAAGGGGGAACATTTTGCCATGTGTTTAGTTGAACATTTCCTGATATTTAAATATGTTTGCTGCATGGCGAAGTATGCAATGGAACCAAAGGCAGAGGTTTTCAATGGAACCAGAGGAGTGGGAGCGGATCGCAGAGGATAAATAAAGAGGACTATTGGTTCCTCAAGAGGGATGATCAAAGCATCGTCACTTATCAAAGTTTTATCGATGCAACCATGGATTGTAAAATAACAATATTTTACAATCGATGATGCAACTTTGATATTTGAAAATCGAAAACCAATATTGAAATATTAAGATTACCGACAATATTTTTTAAATTAATATTTCTTTCTCACAAAGTGATTTTCAGAAAGGTCCTGCACTAAAATCTAAATAAACAAATTTACAAGGAAGACATGCATATAACATAAATATGTCTATTGGAAAAATATCGGTATGTCGGCAATTTTTCACTCAGGAAAGTCGAAAAAACTGCAAAAAGAAACGTCCTACAACGTACAGTACATATCAGAGGCTATTCATATTTCATATATTTCAAAATAACATCCTTTTTTCCGAAGACCAAAAATATTCCGTCAACACAAGGATGTGACAATTGCCAACAGACGGAAATCTATACAGGATGTCTTTCATGTCTAAAAAAACGCTATCTATTAAAATGAGCTCAACTCATCAATATCTTAGCTCAATAAGAATGTCCATTAAAGCCTGGTTCATTGATCGTAAACATCGGCGATGCCCATTGTCTGTGGTCATTGATGCATAAAATGTTTTGTGCATTTTCTTCTTCGTTGCTCACAGACAATGGATCGTAGAACAATAGCACATCGCCGATCAATGTGAAGCAGGCTTGAACATGGTTCAATTAACCCCTGAACAGAGAACATTTGTAATCAAAACGTCTTACGAAACAAATAGCTTGCAGCAGGCTCGCGTTGCTTTTGGGTTGACTAACTTTGCAAAATTAATGTATTTTCAATTCTCAACGGTGGACGAATGTGATTTCGACCGGCAATTTTTATTTGATGAGTATGTGGCCATTTCTCATCGTTACGATTTACAAAAGATATCATTGAAAAACTAAATAACAGCTTGTTTGTTTGATTGCTTTTCTGAAACTTTCACCTCTGTTCATATTAAATAATTTTGTGTTTTTAATTTAAATCAAGGATCACACAAGAGGTTTTTTATAACAGCTCTTTCCTCCTATGTAAAAATCGAATTGTTTAGCTAAGTTTGTGATGCACGACAGCCTGTTGAATTTCCATAGCGTTTTTTTTTAGACACCCTGTATAATCACAAAAGAAAACAAGGAAATACGAGTATCCGGTATTTAGGCAGCGTTTACACTGTACCGTTTTCGTAGCGTTCTCGTATTGTTCTTAATCCTCAAGGGAACGCAAGACAATAGTCTAGTTCTCTCGAACAATACGAGAACGCTACGAAAACGGTACAGTGTAAACGCTGCCTTAGTAATTCATGTGAATGAAATATTCAAAATAAACGCGCTACTTAATCACTGCAAAACATACAGCCCTTCTTCTGGCAAAGAAGTTGTATAGAGAATAAATGGGATTATATAGTGCGAATTAGAATAGTTGATTTGTCATTTGGGGTTAAATATTTTATAATTGAGAAAGCCTTATTAAGTGTAAAGCAATTACAAAATTGCTTCCTAAAAACAGTTTCATTAACAAGATCAATATTAAACCGCAATTATTTAATCAATGTGAGGAGGACAGTGTTTCATTGTTCAAGGAATACTCCAGAGCGAGCTCTCGAGTGCTGAATTTCTTAACACTGGAATTTTTTTGAAAATCCTTGCTATACAGTACAGGGTGTATCAAAAAAAGCGCAACCTCGGAATTTCCCAAGAAATCGACATTGTTTTAAAGACAAAAGATTTTAGGCGCCTGGGAATTTAAAATAGCATAACTGTCAAAATTACTGCACACGCGAGTGCATAAAGCAAAATTTATGCATTTATTTAATGCACAACAACAGTAATATGACTATTAGCAATTCGATTTCAATTCCCAGGGGCCTAAAATCTTTTATGCTTAAGAATTGCAAAGTGATTTCTTAGGAAATTCCGAGGTTGCGTTTTTTTTTATACACCCTGTAGTACGGAAATAGCATCGATAGTATGAATTTCACTATTTTTTCCAGTGTAAGTGTATATTATTAAGTTGCCTATACGCTAGTCGTTATATCGACTATTTTTAATATTTTTAAATAATTAATTTTCAACCATGAAAGCATTGCTATGCTAAAAAATAATTTATGTTACATGAAATTTAAGGCAAAACAGTTTAGAGAACTACGATTTCCAGCTACAAAAATGTTGGTAATCAATATTTCGCGAATAGTGCTTTTAATCCGTATGTGTCATATTGCATGTTTGAGAGATGAGAAAAACATGGCAAAACTGCACGTTTGTTGTTTTATTAGGATTTAGTCGTCCTTATCCTATTAATGTATAATATTAACAGCTATATGACTGTGTGAAACCACTCCCTTAATCTACAATTAACACTTAGTACTTCACTATATAAATTAGGGTCACGAATGACCCTGAAGCGATATTATATCTGACTGAAAATATACATCGATTCAACCCTCCATATACTATACTACTGTATATACTAAAACTGTCTGTACCAGTGTGGGTAGTACCAATGTGAAAATGATGTGCTGAGTGGTTATATTACTACCTTAAAAAAATAAGCAGAAACTCGACGTTTCGAGCGAAGGCCTTTCATCAAGAGTTAGTATAGCCAACTCGTCAAGAGGTAGTAGGCTATACTAACTCTTGACGAAGGGCCTTCGCTCGAAACTTCTAGTTTCTGCTTAATAAGGTATGGTTGCATTAGAAGATTTGGTTGTTTCTTCACGTTTTTGCCCAAACACCAATAACATCAATGTAATAGATGTTCCAATTGGAAAAATACAATTATCGACGATACACAGGCAAAGCCGCGAAGAAAAATAGAAAGTACAACTTACACGTTGATTATATTAATGCGATATAGTACGACAATATGACTGCTCCCTAAATTGCTAAAATTAACAAAAAATTTGCATTTTCATCTTCAAATACAGTACTTGTTTGCTTTCTTTTCAATTGTTTTGGCTGAAGATCGATATAGAAAATATACAGTAGGGAGCAAACATTAAATTTTGAGAGCGAGTTTTTTACTCTCGATTTCAATTTGCTTCTGAAACATAACGTATCTTCAAGATATTGGCAACGTTGCCAACTGTAATTTTGTTAATTAATTTTACCGATGATTTACGATGGTTCAATAGTAAGCAATTTGATTGGCTGACTTTTTTAACTATACAGCCAATTAAAACTTGCAAAGCTTGGTTATTGTAAATCATCGGAACGCCAACTTCGAAACGAACTTTTGCAACTACATGCACATTCAACGAATATATCCAAACTCTGAATACAAACAAACATTCGAAGTCAGAATTGAACAGCAAATTGGAATCGAGAGTAAAATGTGATAAATTTTAATCAATGTTCACTAAGAGACTGACCAGTGTGATTTAAACTTTTAAACAATTGAACAACAATTAATGGACCTATTCCCCAATGAACAAAATTTTGATCTAGACAAGTCTAGACAAAAATTTCATCACAGCTTGAAAGAGCATTACAAAATTAGTAATATTCCGAAGTTTCGTTGCGAAATGTTGTCAAATGCGGATAATATAGCCCTGCGAAGTTTGCCGTTTTTCAGTCATTTTGTATTACGCACGGGAAATTGATACCGCTTTCTGAAAAAAGGTATCAATTTCCCGCGCATAATACAAAATGACTGAAAAACGGCAAACTTCGCAGGGCTATATTATCCGCATTTTACGACAATTTGCAACGAAACTTCGGAATATTACTAATTTTGTGATACTCTTTCAAATTGTGATGAAATGTTTGTGTAGATCAAAATTTTGTTCATTAGGGAATATGTCCATTTAAGATGGAAAGTTTAGCATTTGAAAACGTAAAAATCCTCGCATATTTGACCAGGAAGTCATGGAAAGGTAATTAAGCCAATGCACCGACAAAGACGTCCTTGTCGGAAGGGCTCTTGACAATATCCGGAGTTTTGACTTTTGTTTTTTAGGTTCATCATTGCGTTCTCTCAGTAGTAAAAATTCAATAGTAAAAGAGTTCTTTATTAAAATAAAGTGCTCTTAATATTATTATAAACTCTTGGAAAATATGACAAGTATGGGGCGACCTAACCCTGTCTGCTACCTGTAAGTCCAAACATGGGATGGGGAAAGAGAAGGTGTTGGGTTTTTTAAGATGTTAAATAACCTCCTTTTTCAGACAATAATATTTCTTTTTAATTTCCGATTTACATACTGTAAATCATGAAAGTTAGTGGTGCTCATTGGCTTAGGGCATGCAAAACTCCTTAAAACCCCTATAAGACGGGCAATATAATTAAGTGCCTTAGCTACTAAGGGCCTCGTTTAACATATAAACTGCGGGAGGGGCAAGCCCATGTTGACCCCTCCAGTAACCTATCCCCCCCCCCCCCGCATGAAAATATCCCCTTTGTGTAAAATGTATGACCATTAGTTACGAAGAGCGTTTTAATATTTTCATGACAAACTCTTTGTAGAGAGGATGAAATATGTAATTGCAAACATTATCTGGGGGTTCACCCCCAGACCCTCCCCTACATCTTTGCGCGTTTTCAATTTACCTCCTAGTTAGGTCCCTTTTCCTTGGTGACCACACCCACTGACAAAGTGTTAAAAGAGTCCCTGGCGGTGATGTGCAATCTGTGAGACCGTGCACGCTAATTATTCTATATTAGCTACAAAAACATGAAAAGAAAGGTTTATAGTCTTGTACTGTACTATCGTTTGTCGCTTCGACGCATCCAGACAATGTGTAATTATTTCGCCAGGCTACACAATTTGTCTTCAATGCGATATTGCCCGTACAGGTATATCGTGCATGGTTCATCCGATAAGGGCGGGCAGATCATTTTTCTAGGAGAGCAAATTCAATAAATCATGCTCACTTGTTTTCTAAAATCCTTAGATTAGAAAATCCCCCAATAACTTGAGCAAAATAAATTAGCACTACATACTGTCATACAGTATATATAACACTCTCAATAGAGTAGCATATATTTCATTTCCTGCATGCAATCTTTGAGTCGATGTCACTCACTGCAGATTTAAATATTTAATACCAAATATAAAATACATACTTTCATCCATTAGCCTTGCGAGTTTTTACTGTAATAGTCGTGTTGCACGGGTGGCTCGCTTGCATCTATAATGTACAGGCTTCCTTTCATATTGAGGACTATTAATTTGAAGACCAAGATAAATCCTTTCCTGCACCTTTCTCTACCCTTTCTCTTTCGTGTTCTCTCTCGTTATACTCCATGTTACTCTAAATATTTTTATCGTATTTTGCAGATTTTTGAACAACAATCAGATAGAACGTTTATTGCCACTTACTTTTGATCATCTTCCTAATCTAACCAAAGTGTAAGTAATATTTCTAGATTATTCTGATCTGCCCTGTTAATTTCAGGAAGTTAATTTAACTCCCAGTACGGTTATTTTGAGCCGAATTTAACTCCAAATGATTAAAATGATTTAAATAATAAGTGAAACCCAATGATCTAAAAGGTGAAATCCCTCTAAACGGATACCTCGTTAATAGTAAGATCTGCACCCTCTCTTTTATAATACGTCTGTATAAAGACGTATATAAGACATTCCCTTGTTATATGAAATAGTACATTTCCTTGTTATATATAAGACAGTACATTTCCTTGTTACATAAGACAGTACATTCCCTTGTTATATAAGACAGTACATTTCCTTGTTATATAAGACAGTACATTCCCTTGTTATATAAGACAGTACATTCCCTTGTTATTATAAGACAGTACATTTCCTTGTTATATAAGACAGTACATTCCCTTGTTATATAAGACAGTACATTCCCTTGTTATATAAGACAGTACATTCCCTTGTTATATAAGACAGTACAATCCCTTGTTATATAAACAGTACATTTCCTTGTTATATAATATATAAGACAGCACATTCCCTTGTTATACAAGACAGTACATTCCCTTGTTATATAAGACAGTACATTCCCTTGTTATATAAGACAGCACATTCCCTTGTTATATAAGACAATACATTTTCTTGTTATACAAGAGAGTACATTCCCTTGTTATATAAGACAATACATTTCCATGTTATATAAGACATTACATTTCCTTGTTATATAAGACGGTAGTACATTTCCTTGTTTTATATAAGACACAGGCTTTTAGCCAGAAGGGCGTCCAGGCGTCCTGGGACGCCCCTAGAACGAAAAATGGACGCCCAAATTCTGGGGGGAAAGGGAAATTATTTTCAATTGTTTTCCTAAGTATATTAATATATCTGAAACGAAATAGCTTCAATTCTCATTATTATTATACATTTGACATTTTGATCAATTTGATGGTGTACCTGGCTGAATGAAAATGTCGTAGTTAAGTAAAGAAGCATAGCGGCACAAACTCACAAAGCCAAGTGTGTTTTGAAAAATTTTGAACCGGCTTGGAACAGATACTGACATGAAGTAACGTAAACTTCAAAGGTTTTCCAGAGGGACGTTTTCTCACTCCCCCCCCCTCTTTACTGTAGATGTCTCGTTATACCAAAATTGGACGCCCTCTTTTAGATCCCTGGCTAAAAGCCTGATAAGACACTACATTCCCTTGTTATATAAGGCAGTACATTTCCATTAAAATACTCTTTAAGATGGCATTCCTACCTTTTTTGGGCCGTTTTTGACCTTGCACTGTATATACAAAGATTCGTAAAGGTCTTCCTACGCAATACGATTAGTCATACTGTATATATACGATTCTGATTCGGAACGCTGTATTTCGATAAAATTGCACTCCTGTTTGCCAGTTAGAATCGAGTATTTTTCATGTATATTACTAAATCCATCGATGTATAGTAGAAAATATGGCTGCGTATATTTAAGGAAATCCTATTGTTATTCTGAATGATTCTTTTCTTGTTGTTTGATTTAGTGACCTCTCAGGAAACAAAATTAACTGTGACTGTTCTTTAATTTGGACTAAATATGCAAATTTTACTATACAACTCATGGCGACCTGCCAAAATCCAACTTGGGTCAGAGGAAGATCTTTGGCTAACATTACAATGGAAGATATGTGCAGTAAGTAAATAATTATGAATAATGAAAAATGTACTAGTGTGAAACATAAAGTTTCGTTTCACATTGGCACATTGCATATTTAAACCAACCCCCCTCCCCTCCCCCTATTGAGGACATCCATTTTTGGCCCCCATCTGGAATTTCCGCAGATTTTTAGTGAATTTGTAGCCTCCCCTGTGGAATTTCCACAACCTTTTTTAACTTCTAACCCATAGTCAGTGGAATTTCCTTATTTATTTCTCAATTAGTAGCTATCCCTTGGAAAATTCCTTGCTGATTTATCCTGTGGAATTTCTTTTCCATTGTTGACCATGCATCCCATGGAGAAAGTTTTAGTCACTTTTTATACATACCTACCTATAATATCTCTATATTTGTTTATTTGTTTATTTCTATATGATAATACTACAGGTCTATTCGTAGTCCAAACACTAACTAACTAAATATACATATATTGATGTTCTTTGGTTATACGAGTTAATTATATAGTTAATATTACCGAGTAATATCCTGTCGAAACCTAACACCTATACTATAACTATGGTGACGTATTCACTATACTACACTACCCTGTGGAATTTCCACAGATTCCTTCATTTTTTGTTCCCTTTGGGGGGAGGGCTATTGGAAATTTCGCACGTCCACAATAGGGGACGGGGGGGGGGGGGGGGGGGGGTGGTTAAAAATGCAATGTGCCATTGCGCCAGTTCTGGTTCAAACCGTTTGGATTGTCACTGGTTAAAGGCTTTAGATTTAGTGAACTTATAGATATGCTTAAACACTCGAAACAAACACTCGCTAAATTCACATCTTCGACAACAAGGGTGAGAACTATGGATTTGTTTTGTAGACAAAGACGGACAATGATGAAAAACAAATTTAAAGTGTCTTTATCTTAGCCAAAATCAACAAATAACGATAAAAATAGTTCTCTCCCTCCTAGCTTTAAGAGTTTTTGGTCAATAGCCAGGTGCATGTCTATAATACCAGAAGCTCGAATCTAATTAGTATACCATCCTGTAGGACAAAATTACGACAATTTTCTGTCTATTATCAAGGTCCTCTATTTTTCAACTCCTTGGTCCCGAACATACGGAACACCATGTCTGTCTGTTCCTTCCAACCTAAACTTAAAAAGTATTTAATTTTCGATAATTTGTGTGATGTTATCATAATTGCATTAATTAGGTGTGTGCATCTAAATATCTTCTTCTTTTTGATATTATGTGTGTGCGTTTGTATATTATTTATTTTTCTTTTGATATTACTGCTCACTACTCTACTTCATATTTAGGTAATTTATTCAATAAAATTTGACATAAGGTTGTCTAGCAAATAATAAGCCTCGCGTTCGTCACAATCGTCAATTTTCTTTTTTCTAATATTACTTTTTAATAAATTTTGTTTTATCATGTATAATTATTTGTGGCAAATTAATAAAAATACATTCATTAAAAAAATCTTGTTTGGTACGTTTCCAGTAAAAGACAAATAAAAGAAACAAGGATTCTCAAAGGATGGCTTAAATAATATTATACGATGGATTAAAAAAACTTTTCCAAATCCATTTGGCCACCAGCAAGAATTTAAGGCTACAATACCTTGGTGTGAAACTAATCCTTTAAACTGGTAATCCAAAAGAAAAACACAAATAACTGTTTTTTGCCATGTCCGCGTACTACAGTAGATTAAGCACATCTTAAGCTCCCTCGTCGTCTTCTTCAAGTCTCAAAATGAGCGAGATTTTAAAGGCATGCGGAGAAATTATTTCATAGCAATACAATAGCTCATCCTCGTTGCCAGGGTCAGGGATACCCCTTCATAGGCCCAGGGACACACGGAACCGGAAGTGCAAGAAAACTTGCAGTAGTTTCGCATACATTCTTGTACCCAGAGCCCTTCTTACGCGCGATCAAAGGAGCGCGACGAGGGGCTCTGGCAAAATCCAAACCGGATACCATAAGAACATGGTATCCGGTTAAACACTGCGCATGTTCAATTAGAGTTGAGAATTTCAGAATTTAGTTTATTCCTTTTTGAGCTTTCTCCTTTGCTTATTAAATATACGTGCTTTGGTGCTTGTTTAAACAATGTTTTGTAGAAAGTAAAACCGCATGGCAGCGTGGTATTTTCGCCCAAAATATATTGGGGTCAGCGGATTTTTGTATCAAAAGGGATAGCAGTGCGCTTGTCGAATTTTCGAAGCCACGAATAGGATCGGAGCGAGTAATTAAACTTTATACTTTGTTTATAGTAACTTCGAATCATTCAACTTAATTTTTCCATTGCCAAAAGTTCATTGAAATATGAAATAATTTTTCATAATTATGTCTGCCGGAGTTTTCCAACTCCGGCTCCGGCAAAATATGCCGGAGCTCCGGTACTCCAGCTCCGGCGCACAGCTCTAAGATAAATGAGTACCAAGAGCCCTGGTTTAAATGCACTTTCAAGTCATAGACCATAACAGAATACTGTTGTGGTCTATGCATTGCACCTGCATGTGTTATCTATGGTTAAGTATACATGCATGCTCAATTTGAAATATGGTTCTTTCGTTGTGTTTTAGAGATTCCTTCAACACCTGTAGTTGCCAAAACAACTGTCCAGAGTACTGTAAGTATTTACCTTCAACACCTGTAGTTGCCAAAACAACTGTCCAGAGTACTGTAAGTATTTACGTTTCCAATTATATGTCATATCAACTCCTCAATATTTCCTTTCAAATGACTTTTGAAAGTTACTACATACCCTTTCTAAAAGTGCTGTAAATCAATTAGGTACAAGTAGCGAATAGGTTTTCAATGTATAGTGACTTAAACAACAAAAACCTGGTAATAATAAATAAAATGCATGGAACACAATTTTAAACTTTCTCGGATTATATACGTACGAAACTGCAGATAAGTGTTAATTTTGAAATTATTGCATGCATCATCTCTTTACCATCTTGTACTTTAGGTTAGGTTTGCTTTAATTTAGGTTTCATTATATGGTTGTAAGTTAATATATACAGGTCCCCTATGAATAACCAGCCTGGTTTCTAATTGGGCTAACCTGTTCAAATATAAAGTTCATCTTATCTTATCTCCCAATATTTTGCGAAGTGCCGGGAAGTACTAAATACATTTTCACGTTTTAACAGGTACCAACAGCTACGACACCTCAGCATACAACAACAACAGCAACAACACCAAGCACTGAACAAGCTGGTACGGCAAATGTAGTGCCAACAACCACTGTCGAACCCCAAACGTCACGACGTACACCCCAAATGACAACTGTCGAGCCCCAAACGTCACGACGTACACCCCAAATGACAACTGTCGAGCCCCAAACGTCAACTAACAAACCTGCCACAACTCTTGCTGAAAGGCAAGTAACAACTAAAGACTCAGCCTCTTTACCAACACACCGGCCGAATGTTACCTCAACATCGGTACCAACACGTCAAGAGAATGTGACAGACCCTTATAACCTAACCAGTTTAGTTGACATGTCTAGCAAAGAATTGAATGCTGAGTCACTTAGGAATTTGATTGAAATGCTTGAAAGTGATGTGGATCGACGGAATTACAGTGACACTGCGACTACAATGGTATGTGTTATTCTTTGTTTGCAATGACGTAATTTGGGGATTTCAGTTGACGGGCAGGTATAACAAAAAACGGCTATTTTAATGTATTGATCGAGGTTAGAGACAGTTTTTAAAAGACTCAAAAGATGAATTACCGTTTTCTTGCTACAACCATTCTGATAGGAGAAAAATCGTCCACAAGTTGTTTGATTGTCCGTCATTTGGATGAAAAGTCACGTGATTACAAACAAAGAATTCAGGTTTAAAACTGTGACTAATGTACATATTATGGCTATTCCCAAGTTGATGCAAAGGCCGAGGGTAGAAAGTTATAAACAAAAGATTAAAGATATTAATCCAACATTTACTTTCTAGCTTTCTAGAGGTGATGCGAGAATCGCTAATTTATTTATGGGTATAATAGTATTTTTTAAGGATTCTGGGAATGTGCTACACAATGTTTGTCACAATAATTTTGACGATATTTGAGTGAGGTTGCTTTACTTGACGATATTTGAGTGATTATACAGTGAGGTTGCTTTTCATTCATTGTTCATCGAAATGTGATCAAACTTTGTCTACCTAGTAAAGTTACACTGATGGTTATAATTAAAAGGAGAGGCCTTTCTAGTCGCTTAGTTCGTTTCTTCATTTTGTTACTTCTTATTATCGATTGCTATCCAGTGGGGCCGGTTGTATAAATCACGAATCGGGGAATATATTCAATATTCCCCTCTAATCAATTTCCGTCTAATAATCCCCTCTAATATTCACCTGTAATGTCTTTGCAGCACAAAAAATGAGGAAAAAAACAACATAACGAAGGCAATATGGCATTAAGAATTATTTCTATTCTGACTCATTAACGCGACCTCGCAGTGTGAATAATAAATACGTTATTTTGAGGCACCTCGGGTATATGTGTTTATTCACCTCGGCGCTGCGCGCCTCGGTGAATAAATGACATACAGTACCCCTCGTTGCCTCAAAATAACCTATACTTACTGCAAAAGTTAACCAGCTACAATTCGCGTATTTGAGAGTTAACAACTATTTAACTACAAAACGGATATGAAACCAGCCCCTGCAGGTCGTCAACTCTGGAATGGCCAATTCCATTTCCCGTTAATCCTCCGTCATTATAGTGTAAGCAATTGCCTTGTTTAAAGTGATGCTAAACGTTACTGACCGTTAAAATTGTCTGGATTTTCAAATGAAAAGGATTTATAGCCATCGCGTTAGAAATTCGAAGGAGTGCCTGTCATCATCGCTGATGTTTTTAAAAACTCCACCTTGAGATTTTACACTTACTGTTGCCTGTGTCCTAGCAGACAAGAGCTAATGTTTCTATTTGCTTTTTTCTTCTTTTTCAAGAATGTTTTACTCGTCTCGAGCAATCTGATGAGACAAGACAATCGCAAAACGTGGTCTAGTGTGAACAAGGTACATTTTGTTCCCTGATGTGCGATCATTGTTATGTTTTAAACCCACTAACTTAAAGCATGTTTTGATCACTTTTATATTTTATCTCCAAACTCCAGTTTTATTTGATCTATCCTTGTCTTGAGTTGAAACCGCGCTACTAAATTCGTGAGTTACTTTGGTCCATAGCTGCAGAGGTTAGAAAGCCATGCATGGAGCCGGAGCTTGAAATAAAATGGAGCCAGGCGAAAAAATAATTGACCAGCCAAGTCAAAAATAAAATGGCAGGCGAATTCTACAAAAACACAATGGTGCCCAATGGTTGAGGACACAGTCGATTTGCAGTTTGCCATTTCCGGTTAGCGGTTTGCCGTCCAAGTCAATCTTTTAAGGTCACTAATAGTTAAATAAAACAGTTACAGTAAGTGGGGCAAATACATAAATTATCGATATGCATGAAGAAAATTAACATTTAATCTCTATTTTCATACCCGAGTGAGACCACTTTGGCAGTTCAAAAATAGAAATGGCAGACCATAATGGCAGGACATATGTTTTCCTATTTCGAGCCCTGCTTGGAGCAACGCTACCTCCATAGTATAAGGGGCCATCACTCCAAATTCAAAGCTTAGTTGATTTGAGAATTCAAGAGTTGCTGGTCTACTACAGAAATCATGTGAAAGCAGTGGAGCTGCCTTTCTAAATCATTAGAATGTTAGGGTTTGTAATCCAAGTGATTATATACATTTTAAGACCTGACCAGGAACGACTGCGAAAAATGCAGCACAAGGTCCTCTGGTAGGAATTGAACCTACGGCCCTGCGATTCCGGTGCAGCGCTCTAACCAACTGAGCTACAGAGGCCAGCTGTTGAGCTGTAACCGTAAGTTCATGTATATTTAGGTAATCGGGTGTGCAGGTTGTGATAAGGTGGACTTCAATAATTTGGATTCTTGCACTTCACTTGTTGGAATTAATATTAGAATGTTGGGGTTTGTAATCCAAGTGA